TATAGATATACAGAGAGAGAGTTCTGGACGAAAGATCCAACCATATGCAGCTGTGAGTACCGCGTTGTGGGTACCGCTCTCGGTGGAATCCCCGATGGAGCCACGATCCTCGTGAGGGGTGTGCCGAAATGGCTCCCCATGGGGCCGCGATCCTCGTGAGGGGTGTGCCGAAATTGGCGGGGGGACGCATGCAAACCCTGCCGCTGGGGCCTTCGGTGGAGCTCCCTACGGGGCCACGCTCCTCGTGAAGTGTGCCGAAATCGGCTGGGGGACGCATGCAAACCCTGCCGCTGGGGCCTCCGGTGGAGCTCCCTACGGGGCCACGCTTCTCGTAAGGGGTGTGCCGAAATGGGCGGGGGGACGCATGCAAACCCTGCAGCTGGGGCCTTCGGTGGAGCTCCCTATGGGGCCACGAAACGCTGTCCTGGGTAGGTGAAACGCAGGGAGGCGACGAGGCGGATGGGAGGAGGGAGGTGGGGGAGGAGGGGGAGGAGGAGAGGAGAGGAGGAGGAGGAGGAGGAGGAGAAGGAGGAGGAGAGAAGAGGAGATGAGATGCGGGGCGCTGTCTCTTCAAAACGAGGACCCAAACACCAGAGGATGGTTGGGAAAACACTTAGATACAGAGAGAGGCACATGGCAATGGAAAAAGAGAAAGAGAGAGAGAGAGAGAGAACGAGAGAGAGAAAGAGCAAGGCATTTATATATATATAGAGAGAGAGAGAGAGAGAGAGAGCGAACGAAACTTAGAGGGAGAGGGAGACGCACACTACTACAGAGTAAAAGAGAGAAAGAGAGAGATAGAGAGAGAGAGAGAGAACGAGAGAGAGAGAGAACAAAAGAGATAAAGAGAGAGCGAGAGATATTATATATATATATAGAGAGAGAGAGAGAGAGAGAGAGAAACAAAAAAAAACAACAAACAATTAGTTTGGCGAAGGACCCAACCATATGCAATTGTGAATACTGCAATTATGAATATTTTCTTCGGTGGAGCTCCCTATGGCGCCACGAAGCGCTGTACTGGGTGGGTGAAACGAAGGGAGCAAGGGCTGTGCTGGCTGGTGGGTGACGCATGCGGGCGGTGCCACGGACACCTTCGGTGGAGCTGCACTGGGTGGGTGAAACGCAGGGAGCAAGGGCTGTGCTGGGTGGTGGCCGGCGCATGCGGGCGATGCCACTGGGACCTTCGTTGGAGCCCCCTATGGGGCCACGAAGCGCTGTACTGGGTGGGTGAAACGCAGGGAGCAAGGGCTGTGCTGGGCGGTGGCCGGCGCACGCGGGCGGTGCCACTGGGACCTTCGCTGGAGTTCCCTATGGGGCCACGAAGCGCTGTACAGGGTGGGTGAAACGCAGGGAGCAAGGGCTGTGCTGGGCGGTGGCCGGCGCATGCGGGCGGTGCCATTGGGACCTTCGCTGGAGCTCCCTATGGGGCCACGAAGCGCTGTACTGGGTGGGTGAAACGCAGGGAGGAGGGGGAGGAGGGCCACGAAACGCTGTAGTGGGTGGGGGGGGCGCATGCGGACAGTAGACCTGGAACCGTCGGTGGGGCTCCCCATGGGGCCACGAAGCGCTGTACTGGGTGGGTGAAACGCAGGGAGTAGGGGGAGGAGGGCCACGAAACGCTGTACTGGGTGGAGGGGACGCATGCGGACGGTAGACCTGGAACCTTCGGTGGAGCTCCCTATGCGGCCACGAAACGCTGTACTGGGTGGGTGAAACGCAAGGAGGACGGGGAGGATGGCCACGAAACGCCGTACGGGGTGGGGGGGACGCATGCGGACGGTAGACGTGGAACCTTCGGTGGAGCTCCCTATGGGGCCACGAAGCGCTGTACTGGGTGGGTGAAACGCAAGGAGGACGGGGAGGAGGGCCACGAAACGCCGTACGGGGTGGAGGGGACGCATGCGGACGGTAGACCTGGAACCTTCGGTGGAGCTGCGTATGCGGCCACGAAACGCTGTACTGGGTGGGTGAAACGCAAGGAGGAGGGGGGGAGGACCACGAAACGCTGTATTGGGGGGGGGGGGACGCATGCGGACGGTAGACCTGGAACCTTCGGTGGAGCTCCCTATGGGGCCACGAAACGTTGTACTGGGTGGGTGAAACGCAGGGAGTAGGGGGAGGAGGGCCACGAAACGCTGTGCTGGATGGAGGGGACGCATGCGGACGGTAGGCCTGGAACCTTGGGTGGAGCTTGCTGCGAAACGCTGTGCTTGGTGGGTGAAACGCAGGGAAGAGGGGGAGGAGGGAGCAGGAGGGGGAGGAGGAGAGGAGGAGGAGGAGAGGAGGAGGTCCGCGGGGACCGTCTCTTCAAAGCGAGGATCCAACACCACAGGATGGTTGGGAAATAAGCAGGCAGTGACGGAGGGAAGCGAGAGGGAAGGGGGAGGGGAGGAGGTGGAGACAGAGGAACGAGGAGGGGAGGGGAGGTTGGCGCAAACCGGGGAGCGAGCGGATGGAGGCAGGGCAAGAAATGATGGAGAGCGGGACGACGAACCAGCGCAGATCCAAGAGATCCACGCGGACCGCCAAAAGGTTGTGGCTATGCCGTTCTTTGCTCTGCGAGGGGGAGAGAGAAAGAGAGAGAGAGAGAGCACGCTGAGGTAGGAGGTAGGCGGGCAGGAGGAGCCAGGAAAGGAGCAAGAGTCGGGAGAAGAGCAGGTGGCAGCAGCCCGCGCGTCAGCAGCACCAGCGCGGCGCGGGGCCGGAGAGGCAGGCAGGCAGGCAGGCGAGGGCGGAAAGTAAGCAGGCGAGCAGCAGCAGCAGCGGCGAGGCGAGCGCCACCAGCGGCGGCGGCAACGAGGGCAGGAGTCGGGAAGGGGTGGCGCCCCCTGCCTGCTGCCAGTGGGGTCCACGCTCCACCACGGCGACGTCTCGTCCGCCACCGCAAGGCCTCGCAGGCCGCGGCGCCGCGAGGCCCCCCCACCCCTTGCCTTGCTCACTGCCTTACCTCGAGGCCCAGCGCCCTCCTGGCCCTTTTTCTCCTCTCTTGCTGAGTTTCCCCCCCTTGCACTTTCTTGGCCTGATGCCTCCCTGCCCTTCAGCCCCATCACCCGTCGCCCTCCTGTTCCCGCTTCCCCCCCTGCTTACGGGGTGCCCCCCTCCACCCCTCCCCTCTCCTCTCTCCACCTATGCCAGTGCTCGTCATGACTCCGCTGTACCTCGCCGCGCGAAGTGTGGAGTGCCCTCGGGTCCCCTCGAGGTCTGCACTTGTGGGGTTTCTGGGGCTCGGGCCAGCAGAACAAATATGGGTTTAGGGTTTAGGGTGGAGGGGACGGATGAGAAAAATGGGGACGGATGGGGTAAGCGACGTCGAACTCGGCTCGCGCGCATACCGCGACACTCGACCTGAACCCGGCCAAGCGCGGACAAACCAGGCGCCCTCCCTTGCACGACAAAACATGCATGCGAATGCCGCTGCAGTAAGGAAACGCCTTGGAACGCCACCAAGATAGTGGCTCCAATTACCCCGCTGTCGGTGCAATAACGACGCGCATGTTCAACGCGACCAGGGTAAATGCCCGCTATCGTTTTCACGTGTGAGGGGTGTAGCCAACATTTTAGTACCGTTTGCCCAAGCAGGGAGGCGCTTACAGCTTTCCCTCCCTTCCCTCCTCACGCCCTCCTAGCCACTTCTCTCTCGCCCGCTCGCAGGATATCCGCAAATGGTATATGAGACTTAGGGGTCCCAAAACACACATTCCCACAATTCTTGGGCGCTACCGTGCGCTCCCACCCAGGGCTCCCCGCATGACTTTTCCAGGGGCCGCTGACGCCTAGTCGGATGTCCGTACTTCCCAGGTATTGTAAGATGGCCCCAGGGGACCGTCATGGGACTCTCTTGGGAACCTCGCGGGCAGTCTTGGAAGCCCTGGGGGCCAGACCAGGAGGTAAGCATAATTGAAGGCACATGCGTTGTTTGGGCTATCTTTGCATATTCGCACTGTCGATCTCAAGAGCGTCCAAGACGGCTTAATAGACCCCCAAGAGTGCCGCAAGAGGGCCCAAGGGAGACCCATTTTGCCCCCCAAGAACCCCCAAGAGGCACATAAGGGGCCTCTTGGCCACAACCCAACCACAGGTACTGTTCTCAGATCTCCCCCGAAGCCCCGACGGCGCACATGTGTTAGCCTCCCTTTCCGCGCATCGGTTCGCACATCTCAGATCCTGAAGCGTTGCACATCCTTTGCCGTCTCCGCTTGGAGCACCATCGGCCCTTCCGAACACCGACCTCGCCTCGGTGCCTGCCACACGCATGTCCCTGCACAACCACTTTTCGAGGGAGGGCCCGTTGAGACAATCGCGGCCCTCCTGCCCGGCCGAATTAACCCCGCTCAGCATCGGTCCCCAGACCTCCGGCCCCTCCCGGGATCCGTCCTGGGACGCTCGTCGAGGCAGACCCGGCGATGGCGACGAGAGGCTTCCAGGAGGCCCAGCCAGACCCATACTGGGCCTGTTTTCCACCACCACCATCACCATACATTGGAGGGGGGGAGGAGGTGGAGGAGGAGGAGGAGGAGGAGGACGAGGAGGAGGAGGAGGAGGACCCCCTCCCCCTCCCACTTAGTGGTGGTGGTGGTGGGAGACAGGTCCATCGGACCCGACACGCCCGAGAAGGCCGCCGCTGCCTCGACGGGCCCCTTCTCCCAGAATCCCACGGCGGCTGGGCCCGTTCCTCTACAGGGCAGGTTTTAATACATAGGATTTTGTTTTATATGTAGGATGTTTTAAAACATAGGATTGTTGGAAAATATGTGAGTTTTTGAAATATAGGATGTTCTAACATATAGGATGTTTAAAATATAGGATATATTCAATGACTAACTTATGAATAAATTGATGCATGAACCCACCGTTGCTTTTCATACTGAATCCCTGCATGTTCAATACATGATCCGCACGCGGAGCATGTATCAAAAAACGGCACTGTACCGAACGGGGTGCCCTGACCCGCCCCCACCCCGCCGTCGCTCGGACGTCCCTTCCCTGTGTAATTTTGGGGTTTCGCGCGTGTTTTTGTTGGCACGATGGTCGAGGATGCTCCTCGAAAGCGCCCGCCGGGAAATTATCCTGGCGAAAGACCCAACCATATGCAATTGTGAATACTGCAATTGTGAATATCTTCTCGGTGGAGCCCCCTACGGGGCCACGAAACGTACGAGGGGTGTGCCGAAATGGGTATGCGGGACGCATGCGGGCACACCCACTGGGGCCTTCGGTGGAGCTCTCTATGGGGCCAAGAAACGTGTGAGGGGTGTGCCGAAATGGGTGTGCGGGACGCATGCGGGCACACCCACTGGGACCTTCGGCGGAGCTCCCTATGGGGCCACGGAACGCGTGAGGGGCGTGCCGAAATGGGTGTGGCTGACGCATGCGGGCGCGGGCACTGGGGCCTTCGGCGGAGCTCCCTATGGGGCCACGAAACGTGTGAGGGGTGTGCCGAAATGGGTGTGGCTGACGCATGCGGGCGCGGGCACTGGGGCCTTCGGTGGAGCTCCCTATGGAGCCACGAAACGTGTGAGGGGTGTGCCGAAATGGGTGTGGGTGACGCATGCGGGCGCGGGCACTGGGGCCTTCGGTGGAGCTCCCTATGGAGCCACGAAACGTGTGAGGGGTGTGCCGAAATGGGTGTGGGTGACGCATGCGGGCGCGGGCACTGGGGCCTTCGGTGGAGCTCCCTATGGGCCACGAAACGTGTGAGGGTGTGCCGAAATGGGTGTGGGTGACGCATGTGGGCGGGCACTGGGCCTTCGGTGGAGCTCCCTATGGAGCCACGAAACGTGTGAGGGGTGTGCCGAAATGGGTGTGGCTGACGCATGCGGGCGCGGGCACAGGGCCTTCGGTGGAGCTCCCTATGCAGCCACGAAACGTGTGAGGGGTGTGCCGAAATGGGTGTGGGTGACGCATGCGGGCGCGGGCACTGGGGCCTTCGGCGGAGCTCCCTATGGGCCACGAAACGTGTGAGGGGTGTGCCGAAATGGGTGTGGGTGACGCATGCGGGCGCGGGCACTGGGGCCTTCGGTGGAGCTCCCTATGGAGCCACGAAACGTGTGAGGGGTGTGCCGAAATGGGTGTGGGTGACGCATGCGGGCGCGGGCACTGGGGCCTTCGGTGGAGCTCCCTATGGAGCCACGAAACGTGTGAGGGGTGTGCCGAAATGGGTGTGGGTGACGCATGCGGGCGCGGGCACTGGGGCCTTCGGTGGAGCTCCCTATGGAGCCACGAAACGTGTGAGGGGTGTGCCGAAATGGGTGTGGGTGACGCATGCGGGCGCGGGCACTGGGGCCTTCGGTGGAGCTCCCTATGGAGCCACGAAACGTGTGAGGGGTGTGCCGAAATGGGTGTGGGTGACGCATGCGGGCGCGGGCACTGGGGCCTTCGGTGGAGCTCCCTATGGAGCCACGAAGCGTGTGAGGGGTGTGCCGAAATGGGTGTGGCTGACGCATGCGGGCGCGGGCATTGGGGCCTTCGGTGGAGCTCCCTATGGAGCCACGAAACGTGTGAGGGGTGTGCCGAAATGGGTGTGGGTGACGCATGCGGGCGCGGGCACTGGGGCCTTCGGTGGAGCTCCCTATGGAGCCACGAAACGTGTGAGGGGTGTGCCGAAATGGGTGTGGGTGACGCATGCGGGCGCGGGTACTGGGGCCTTCGGTGGAGCTCCTATGGGGCTACGAAACGCTGTACTGGGTGGGTGAAACGCAGGGAAGAGGGGGGATGATGATGATGATGATGATGATGATGATGATGATGATGATGATGATGATGATGATGATGATGATGATGATGATGATGATGATGGTGATGATGATGATGGCAGGAGGGAGGGGGCAGCGGGAGGAGGAGGAGGAGGAGGAGGAGGAGGAGGAGGAGGAGGAGGGAACGCGGGGCACCGTCTCTTCAAAACGAGGACCCAACACCACAGGATGGTTGGGAAAAACATATGCACACGTCCAAGCGATGCCACTCCCGCCGAGCGTCCGCGCGATCTCTCCGATCGGACTTTCTTGCCGTCTTCCGTTGCCTGCCTCCCGAAGAGCTGCCAGACACGCACTCTCCTGCCCACGCTGTCCTGCCGACGACCGACGCGCGGGAAGCGGGGGGAGAACAGAAATATACTGATGTCGCTACTCTCCAGACCTCTGCGGGGGCGCGTTCTGACAAGACCTTCGAAGCGAATCCAGCCGTGGCGATTGGAAGGGTAGCGGTATCGGTACCTTCCCCTCCCCTTCCCCTCCCGTGAGGGGATCAGCGGCCTTCTCGATGTCGCGCTTCCCATTTTGTCTGGGGTTGCGCGTGGCTTCCCGTTGAGCGGAATCCTGTGGGCTCTTGAGCTTGTTCCTTTTCTTCTGCCTCGCGTCCTCTAATCCTCCCTCTCTCCTCCGTCTTCCCCTCTGCCTCCTCCTCGTCCATGTCCAGGGCTGCAGCGTGGGATCCCTGGAATGGGCCCGTCGAAACCGAACAACTAATCCCTGGCCTAAGGTTCGAGCCAAATTGCAAATCCTGGGGGACGGCTTCCCGCTGCCCCAGGAGCCAACACGATCCGGACGGCAAACTATGTCCTAAACGGTCCGGCCCTTCCGTTCTTTCTCCTCCCTCTCCCCTTCCGTCCTACTCCTCGCTTTCCTGCCCTTACTTCCACCTCCAATTCCTCCTGCTTCTCACCCTCATCGTCCTCATCCTCCTATGCGCCCTGTCTCCTCATCTTCCTCCGCAAACCCCTCGCCATCTCCCTCTCCCTCCTCCGGCAATTCGCCCCTGTCGCACCCCCAGACGTGTCGGTGGGGCGGGCCGGGCGTTTCGCCCGAGACCTCCTCACCGCTTGTGATCCTGAAACCTGGATTCTGCAACAGCTTCACGGATGGAGGGCGGCTCATCTTGAAAATGTGGCTCGCGCCTGAGCCCCGCGCACACTCGTTCTACAAACAGTGCAACAGGTTCAAGGATAGATAGCGGGTAGTTTCCGACATGTAGCTCTCGCCTTAGAGACGAAAACATTCGTCTAAAAATTTGAAGCAGCTTCTAAAATGAAATGCAGTTCTTCTTCAACAAATATGGCTCTCGCCTTAGCGCCGCGCACACTCGTCTTGAAAGTTTGCAGCAGTTCCCAGGACTCGCGAGGAATGATCGAAATCCCAAGAATTGCATTCTGGCCAGATTTAGGACTCTCAGGACGCAGCAGTCACATTGATTTGCGGTGCTGAAGTCCCAGGAATCGCATTATGGCATGATCTTGGATTGTCAGGACGCAACAATCACGCTGCTTCGCGACGCTGAAAACCAAGGAATTGAGTTCTGGCGCGATTGAGATTCCCAGGCGGTTGTCGTCCAATATGGAATTCCACGTCGTTCTGAACGCAAATTCTTGCAGGGCCCTATGAGGAGGGAGCTTGAAGGGAGGGTCGATTGCAACATCTTTGATGCGCTTTGGATGTACATTGGTCCTCCTGCTCCTCCTCCTCCTCCTCTCCTCCAATCTCCTCCTCCTCCTCCCCTGGACCTCTCCACTCCCTCCTTCTCCCCTCGCCCTCCGCCCTTGCTCCCGCCGCCCCCCTCCGCTCGCCCTTCGACCCTTCTCCTCCCTCGTCCTCGTCCCCTCCCTCTTCGACCTCGTCGTTCCCGTCGTCTTCGTCGTCGTCGTCCTCGTCCTCTTCGTCCACCTCCTTCTCCTCGTTCTCCTCGCGGGGGGGGGCGGGCGGGCGGCACGGCCTTGCGCAACCACGCCCATATCGTGCAGCGCGTAGGTCATCGCGGCCGACGGCACGTCCTGCGGGAGCCGCTGCCAGGCCAGGGCGGCGGAAGCCATCGTGCTGCCACAGGGAGCGCTGGACAAGGAACGCAGGCTACGTGCTCGACCATGCACCCCTCTGTCACCCATCGCTCCTGGGCCGTCTTCGGCGGTCTTCGGACGGTGTTCGGCGGTCTTCCGATGGTCTTCGGCGATTTCCAGCCGTCTTCGGCGCGAAAGCTGGAGTGTTGCGTTCAACAAGGCGGGGTCCATGATCGAACATCTAACGAAGGGGCTGCCCTGGGGAGCGCTGAGCAAAGAACGAACCCGGCTCTTCTGGCCGCGGCGAGACTCGGCCACGGATCGGTGTCCCGATCTGGGCAGGCCTGAGGAAACGGCCCAAAAGCGAAAGCCCCTGCTGATTCGCCGCTGGGCGGTGGAAACACGTAGCACGATGTGTGGACATCAGCATGGCCCCGGCCCTTCCTCCTCTGAGGAGGAGCCTCGCTGACCCACTCTCCCTCCAGCCACGGCCTCCCCTTGGCGGACGACGACCAAACCGCCGCGCGCGCTCCGCCCGCACAGACAGACACACACACAGACACAGACACACACACACACACACATCAGACAGGAAGCTCCGAACAGACACCCTTGGTGGACCCCGCAGGCTAAACATAGGCGCACTCGCTCAATTATAACCGAAAGAGAAGAAAAGGAAAGAGAAACGAGAAAAGGACATACACACATATATATTTATACACACACACCTATATGACCACCCTTCGGGTGATAAGGAGGTGAGGGGGGAGAAACCACTGTCGCACTCGATCGATCTCACTATCGATCTCTTTATCGATTTCATTCGATCGATCTCACAGTCGATCTGACTATCGATCTCACAATAGATCTCACTATCGATCTCAGAGTCGATCTCACTATCAATCTCACTATCGATACCACAATCGATCTCACATTCGGTCTCACTATCGATCTCACTATCGATCTCACAATCGATCTCATTCGATCGATCTCACAAGCGATCAGACGATCGATCTCACAAGCGACCTGACGATCGATCTCACAATCGATCTCACATTCGGTCACTCAATCGATCTCACTATCGATACCACAATCGATCTCACAATCGACGTCATGGTCATCATCAACATCATCATCATGATCACCATCACCACCATCATCACCATAATCACCACCATCATCACCATCATCGCCATCATCACCATCATCACCATCATCACCATCATCATCATCATCAGCATCACCACCACCAGCATCATCATCCTTATCATCATCATCGTCATCATCATCATCATCATCACCACCATCATCATCAACATCATCATCATCATCACCACCATCATCATCAACATCACCATCACCATCATCATCATTAGCATCATCATCATCATCATCATCATCCTCTCTCACTGTCGATCTCACAATCGATATCACAATCGATCTCACAATCGACGTCATCATCATCATCATCAGCATCATCACCATCATCACCATCACCATCATCACCGTCATCACCATCATAACCATTATCACCATCATCACCATCATCACCACCATCATCATCGTCATCATCATCGTCATCGTCATAATCATCATTATCACCACCACCACCATCATCATCCTCATCATCATCCTCATCATCATCATCGTCATCATCATCGTCATAATCATAATTATCATCGCCACCACCATCATCAACATGCTCATCATCATCATCAGCCTCATCATCACCACCATCATCATCATAAGCATCATCATTAACAACATCATCATCACCACCACCATCATCATCATCCTCATCAGCATCCTCATCATCATCATCATCGTCATCATCACCATCAGCATCATCATCATCACCACCAGCATCATCATCACCATCATTATCATCATCATCATCTTCATCGTCATCATCGTCATCATCATCTCCGTCAGTATCATCTTCATTATCATCATCATCATCATCATTATCAACATCATCATCCTCATCATTATCATCATTATCCTCATCATCATCCTGATCACCATCATCTCTCACTATCGATCTCACGGTTCATATCACCATCGATCTCACAATCGACGTCATCATTATCATCATCGACATCATCATCATCCTCATCATCATCACAACCATCATCATCAGCATCACCAGCATCACCAGCATCATCACCATCATCACCATCACCATCATCAACATCATCACCATCATAACCATCATCACCATCATCACAATCATGACCATCATCATCACCATCGTCATCATCATCATCACCACCACCACCGTCATCATCCTCATCATCATCATCGTCATTATCGTCATCATCATCAACATCATCATCACCATCATCATCATCCTCATCATCATCCTCATCATCTTTCTCATCATCATCATTATCACCACCACCATCATCATCATTATCCTCATCCTCATCCTCATCCTCACCATGATCACCATCACCATCAGCATCAGCATCAGCATCAGCATCAGCAGCAGCAGCAGCATCATCATCATCATCCTCTTCCTCATCCTCATCCTCATCCTCATCCTCATCCTCATCCTCATCCTCATCCTCATCCTCATCCTCATCCTCATCATCATCATCATCATCATCATCATCATCGGGAAACCGGTGGGACACCAGCGGGACACCGCGCGGCACCGTTCGCCGAGGGCACCAGGACACCGGCGGGACACCGGCGGGACACCGCCCGGCCCCGGACGCCGGGTCGCCAAACAGTTGGTCCGGCCGCACCTCAGCCACAGGAGACTTTCTCTCGCCCGCCCACGCAGCTTCGCCTCGCCCGCACGCACGGCACGCACGAACACGAAACCGAAATTGATTTCCCCGTAGGGGGGCTCTCCGTTCCACTGTGATCTCACCCCCTCACCTCCGACATGAAAAAGAGAGAAGAGAGAGAGAAAGAGAGAGAGAGAGAAAACGAAGAGAGAGAGAGAGAGAGAGGGAGAGAAACGTGGGAAGAGGGAAGATAATCAAAGAAAGAGAAAGACAGAACCGGTTCCTCGGGCCCCCAGTGGTCCGAGCAGAGGCTGTCTGGGGCGCCTCCGCGGAGAGCGCCGGGGCGGCCGCGAGTCCGGCAGAAGGCAGGGGGGGCGAGGTGGGGGGGGGCGGAGAGCGCCAGGGCGGCCGCGAGTCCAGCACAAGACAGGGGGGGCGAGGTGGGGGGGAGTGACTGGGGCTGGGAATCGGGAGGTAGGGCTCGGGAGGCCTTCGCAAGAGAGGGTCAGGGCTGCGTGGCACCGCGCAGTTGCGGGTAAGAGTGAACGTGGGCGGTGACGCGATGGGCCGCGGGGTGGGTCGTGGGGAGGTCACGCGGACAACAACAACAACAACAACAACAACAACAACAACAACAACAACAACAACAACAACAACAACAACAACAGCAACAACAACAACAACAGCTACAAACCGGCGACAACAACAACAACGACCATAACAACAACCACAACAACAGCAGCAGTAACAACAAACAACAACAACAACAACAACAACAACAACAACACCAACATCAGCAATACCAGCAGCAGCAACAACAACAGCAACAAACACAGCCGCAGCAACAACACCACCACCAGCAGCACCAACAACACCAACACCAACACCACCAACAATACTACCACCAACAACAGCAACATCAACAACAACAACACCAACACCAACAAGAACACCACCAACAACAGCAACAGCAACAACAACAAGACAAAAACCGAAACCAACACCACCAACAACACCACCAGCACCACCAGCAGCAACAACAACACCACCACCACCAACAACAGCAATACCATCAACAGCAACAACAGCAACAACACCAACAGCAACAGCAACAGCAGCAGCAGCAACAGCAACAACACTATCACTACCATCAACACCAACAACAACCACGGCAACAACACAACTACCACTAACAACACCACCACCGACAACAACAACAACAACAACACGCACTTGAAGACTTTTTGCTCTCATCTGCTCTCGTGCCGTTCAACACGCATATCCCAAACCCTCGATACCCGCCCACATCGTCTTCGATCGTACCCTCCTTGGGGGTCTATCTTCCTTGCCTGCCACGCGTGTTTGGCGCAGCCCCTGAAACAGGGGAGAAGAGGACGGATGGGAAGAATGGGCAAGGGGGAGGGAGAAGGATGGAGCGCGATAGAGAGATTAGCAGGAGGGGGGCTAGGAACAAAAAACACGTAGCACAACCAAACGAACAGATCGGGCGGGCAGACCGTAACGGGCGGGTCGAGCAGGCGGGCCCAGGCGGCCAGTTCGAGCAGGCGGTTTGCTGAAGCGTGAGTCCTGCATGAATCGCGAAGGCGTCTCGAGCGATAGAAGGATTCCCAAGTACATCTTGAATAATGCCAGAGCGAGAGCGTGATTCCTGAGTGTCGAAGGCGCGGTGTCTGAATAATGCGAGAAGTCCCACGCGAGAGCGCGAGTCTGCAGACATTGCGAGGAAGTCCTGCGCGACAGCGCGGTGCGGGACGCCATTCTCAAGGAATGTCGAGCGGGAGCCGTTGTTGTTGTAGACTGGGGGCGAAAGGCGCAGTCTGAGCCCCCAGACTTCCCTTTTGTAAAGCAAGGGTCCGACCCCCCAGAACATTGTAATTCATCATCGCAAGAAGGCACCGGGCAGAGAAATCAACAAAGAACCCTTTAGGAATGATAACTCGAATACAACATCAACAACAATCATGTGAATAATGTTCGCGTGCCACTCACCATGTATACCCCCAGCCCTCGATGCCCACCCTCTTCGTCTTCGATCGTACCCCGCTTAACTGGGAAGGGTCTTTAGACCCCCCCAACAATGGAAACTTATCAACATTTCGGCGCCCTTATCCCCACCAACAGCGGAACGTAATTATTTCTGCGCGGCTCCCACCACGCAACAACGACGACCACTGCGACTATGATTACGACTACGGCCACGGTGCGGCGACTATTACGACCACGATCAAGACTACAACCACGACACATATTACGACTGCAATCGCGACTGCGATTACGACTTCAATCGCCACTCAAATCACGATTACAATCACGATTACAACCACGGCTACAATCATCACTACAACCACAAAACACTGATTCCGATTAACGTCCTCATTGGAAGATGGTTACACATCCTCTCGCGTGTAGGGTATCTCACAATGGATAATTCTCTGGGGGAAAGATGCCCTCAACATTATCCAGCCCGCCCAACAATAGAGGGATAATCCGCCACGATTGCGACGACTATGACTACGATTGCGACCACGAGAAGGAACAGGAGGAAGACGAGGAGGAGGGTAAGTCAAAGGAGCAGGAGGAGGAAGACCAGGAGAAAGAGGTGGAAGAGACCCGCATTTCCCAGGCTCTGGCCCCTCGCCGCTCCTCGCTCCCGAGCCTCCTCCTCCGCACCCTCTCATCTCGCTCGTCCTCACTCCTGTCGTCCATCTCCTCCTCCTCCACCTTTTTCCGTCTCCTCTTCCTCCTCCTCCTCCTCCTCCCTCCTCCCCCTCCTCCTTCTTCTTCCTGTTCTACCACTTTACCTCAACAATGAATGACCAACCTCCGTCGCCCCCTTTGACGGATCGGCAGGGCGGACCGGGCATTTCGCCTGAGACTTCCTCACGACTTATGGTCCCGAGGCATGTCATGCGCGACAGCTTCGCGGATGGAGGGCAGGTGCTCTTCAAAATGTGGCTGTCGCCTTCACGCCGCGCGCGTTCGTCTCAAAAGTGTGCAAGCCTTACAGGTGTGCAGCAGCTTCAGGGATGGAGAATGGTTCCTTTTCGATGTGTGACTCTAGTCTTGCACCCGCGCACAGTCTTCTTAAAACTTAGCAGGGGGAGTCACCAGTCTGTGTCCCCAATCCGTAGGCGTGTGAGGACACCACGCAGCTCGCAGAGCTGCGGCGACCGTTGTGTGGCGGTCCCCACTTATGGTACGCAACACATGCAATTACGTAAGTATGTAATGGAATCCCACATATACGTAGACAGTGTAACTGGAGAGTATCAGACACCAGCCCAAAGAAAAACTGAAGTACAACATAAACCAATTGATGACACATGTGCTCCCAATAGTAAACATTGGGTACGGTTATGAAACATGGTCGGAGAAATTGGGTGCCTGTGGTTTCTTGTGTCGGTGGTCCAGCGCACGCTGCCGCATGCTTGCCATAGCCAACACCATTTTTGTCCAAGTGGTCGTGGTCCTCCTGGTGAGGTCCTCTGTCGGCCAGCCCAGCCGGCGGGTGAGGTCAGCCGTTGGTACCGCGATACCTTGCCGGAGGTCGGCGTTGGCTGTGCACACCCAGTACATGTGGTCGAGCGTCGGGACGCGCTGCTCACCGCAGTGGTCGCAGGTGGTCGAGACCTCCTCGCCTTGATTGGTCTTAAAACTTAGCAGCGGATTTCCAGAATAGAGGGCGGCTCCAATTCAAAATGTGGATCCCGCTCTAGCGCCGCACACATTCGTCTTGAAAGCTTGTAGCAGTTTCACTCACTCGCATGGTTGAAATTCAAGGCGTGCTGTCCTGGCACGATTAGGGATTGCCAGGACGCAACAATCATGTTGATTCGCGGTGTCTTAGTCCCAAGACTTGTATCCTGACGCAAATCAGAACTGTCAGGACGCAACAGACACTTTAATTCGCGGTGCTGGCTGCCCAAGAACTGTGGCTTGGCACGATTGAGGGTTCTCCGACGGTGGTGTTCCAATGGACCACACCTGGCACAGAAATAATGAAATATTATGGGGCACTTGAAGGAGGGAACTTGAAGGAAGGGTTTATTGCAACATCGTTGGTGCGTTTTGGATTTGCACTGGTCCTCCTCCTTCTCCTCCTTCTTTCTCCTCCAACTCCCCCTTCTTCCTCCTCCCCCTCCTCCTCCTCCTCCTCCTCCTCCTCCTCTCCTTCACTTTCTTCCTCCCCATCCCCTCCTCGCTCCGTCGTGCCCCGCCCACTCTCCTGCTACTCCACGTCCTCCGCCTCCCGCCGTCCTCCCTCCTTCCACTCTTCAGCGGCGCCTGGGCCTAGCAAGGAGGTGCCGAGCCAATTCTCCGTGTCGGCCATCTGGTGGCTGAAGCGCGATCCCTTGAGACTCCAGGGGGTAGCCGAGGCCCTGGCCCGCGCGGGCAAAAGGGAGGAGGAGGAGGAGGAGGAGGAGGAGGAGGAGGAGGGAGGAGGGAGGAGGAGGAGGAGGAGGGGGAGGGCCGGGAGAGAAACAAGAGAAAGGAGCGGCGATCTGGTGGCGGAGGCAGGATCCCTTCAGACTCCATGTGCTGGCTCAGGCCCTGGCCCGCGCCATCTGAAGTAAGCGAGGGGGGCGGACGAGAGGAAAGGACGGGGAGGAGGAGGAGGAGGAGGAGGAGGAGGAGGAGGAGGAGGGGGCGGACGAGAGGAAACGAAGCGGAAGAGATTTCGACTGTGGGACGGGGTGTGAGGGCGGAGGCAGAGGCAGACGAGAGGGAGGACAGAGCGCTGGGATGCAGGAGAGGGCTGCAAGATAGGGTAGGGCACGTCCTCCTTCCACCTCCTCCTCCTCCTCCTCGAAACCGAGCTTCTGCTCCCGCTGGCCGAGCCGGCTTTGTTGTACCTCCACAGGCCTTCCGCCAAGCAGGAGGGCACAATCTCTCCTAGAACTTCGAGGACCATCCAGGCGTGGCGACGACAGTCTCCAGGACGAGCAGACGCATCGGCACCACTACCTCCTCTGAGCCTCCACCCTTGGCATGTGAGACCTTCTCTGGAGCTCTCCACACATGGCCCCACACATCCGATGTCTTGATGCGTTCAATGCGGGGGATGCGGATCTCTGGACCACCTCCTGGGGACATTCATCACGGGCTGTGTTTAAAACGATGTCGCGGCCAGGCGTGAGCCCCCCGAAACCGAAAACTACGAAACAGCTCCCCTGAGATCCGATGTCGCGAAAAAAACATCAACGTGATGAATGTGTTGCTTCGAACGATCCCCACCGAAACCATCGGCGATTGTTCCTGAATATTGATCGGCTTTTTACTGCGGCCAGTCTGAACTCTTCCGCATGTCGCGCGTGATAAGACGCCATTACTCGATCGCCGTTGCATTATACTCTATTACGTTCTGCTCGTTTCTGTGATGTTCGATCCATGCATGGTTGTTTTTTTCCTGTGGCCAATCTTACATCGCCTCGGATGTTGCGTGTAATGGCGCCGTTACTCGGGCGCTGGTGCGTTCGACAACCATTAACTATGCTCTTTGCTCTTATGTACTTTCATATTATGTTCGATTTCGGTATGTTATGTTCTGGACGGGCTGACGTTACGTCGTGACGCAGCTCACGTTCGATACGTCGTCTAATGTCGTTGCTGCGCCTATCGTTCCTGTCGCCAGCCTGGCCTCGGCGAGCATGTCGCCTTTGACAGAGCACCGTTAGTCGGTTGCTGGTTTTCCTGTTCTGTTTTGGTCAGCCATGCTCGATTCTGGACGATTCGAATGTGATACATAACGCTATGTTATGCTACGTTGTCTTCTGGTAGGTTCCGCTACACTAGATCATGATATTATGTGGTAAATTCAACTCTCATGTTCGGCCACCTGCTCAACAATGATCTGATATCATATGTAATATCTTTCAGCTTCGGGAATGTTATACTTGTTTGTGCTCGGGTATGTTTATCTCCGGATCTAGTCTAGACCACATATTCTATGCAATCTTGACATTGCACTAACAACAACATCCATCCTGACCTGCTGTTATTATCTTAGGGCATTTGGGCTCTTAGTCTGATAGTGGTTTCTACGTATGTTCTGTCACACATTCTTGCTCATACTTTCCCGATCTTGCAGCATTATGCATGCATGATGCGATATGTATGTCTAGCTGTTGGAATACCTTGCTGTGCTACGTTGTTGGAACAGGCTGCATCTATCACACTGGGCAAAGACATGTGTTCTTATCTATGTCTGTACTCTACACTGCTACGCTGTAATATGCGCGGTCATGCCATTACATCTTATGTTGCTATGACAGGTTAAGATGCTAATACGTGGTAATGGCATGCCGCAGCCTGTTATAGTATAGTAGTTGCCGTCGTGGTAGCAGAAGTAAGGATGAATATGGTATTAATTGCTGTTGTCTGCTATGTTATATTGGTATGTCCGGATATGTACAGTATGAGTTGGTATGCGATTGCATGGTCCGACGTGTGATGCTGGATTCGCTTAGGATATGGCTTGCTATGATAGGTAAGTATGCGGTAAGACATGGCCAGTCTGTTATGTAGTGAGATCCATATTACATTATGGAATCGTCGTTTATGGTGTAGTATACGCGCTTCCGTAGTGATACCAGTAGTAGGTCAGTTGTTGTGTGTTCTGTCACGCATGTGGTGTTGTTCCCGGTTATGCCCCGTTATGTGACAGCATGTTGCGTTATGCTGTGGTATGGCACATGTTGTGAAGCAGTGATATGAAATGTTAGCGTATATTGTGGTATGATGTTCTACCAGACACGTTGTGCATGTTATTATGATATCGTTTGTTACGTTATGCTACGGTTGTATATCCGGTGTGCGATGTAGTATAATCGTGGTCGCAGTGGCGCAGCAATAATATAACCATCATGATGTATCATCGTTTGTATAACACTTTACTACGCCCCGCCCTGGCAGCGTGTGGTGTGCTAGCTTACGGTATCATATGCTAAATCTGACGTTCTGGTAGTATAAGCCGTGCTATCTATGCGTTGTTGTGTTATGATCGTGTATGTTACGGTGTGCCCTGCTCATTATATTGGAGTGTGGTCTGCTCTACAATCCGATGCCCCCCTCTGGTGTATTCAGATCAGATTGAATGTATTTGTCTGTTGTTATTGCGTTAATGATGCCGATTCGTCATGCCTCTCTGCTCATGCGTCGTGACGCCTGGACGGTGTGACGCCTCCCCCCTGGGGCTGTCTGGTATGCAGGGTGTCGTCATTCGTCGAGGACGCGAGGCAGAACGATACTCAAGGACCACCCGCATCCCGTGGGGTTTGGCGACCGCAGTATGGAGACGTCGTTCGTCGAGGACGCGAGGCGGGATCCTCGAGGACCACCGGGATCCTGTGGGGTCTGGCGACCGCGGTATGTAGGATGGGCAGACGGGAATTTTTCTGTTAAAGCCTATCAACTCCAACCGTTCCAACCTGTCGGGTGGGGAATCATGGATGGAGCCCTACACCGTATTTTTCGGCTGCATTTCTCGAGCGGGATCGATCTGTCACGGTGGGGGAGCTCGGAGAAGAATTGCAACGCCGGGATTTCAGGAACCGACGGAAGACCTGGGCCTCGATTTTGGTGAATACCCTACAATCCCTTGCAGTTGCGAATCAGAGTGAAGTGGCGGCCGGGTCGAAGGCAGTCTGCGAGGCTCTGAAGAAATCCGCCGCAGGCGTCGATATTCTTGACATTGCACAACCAGCCCACCGCAGGTGCCGATTTTTCCGCCAAGCGACTTGGGTGAGTCGCGGGAGAGTCGCGGGGTGAAAAAAACGCGTTGCGGAATCACACTTCAGTCACGCACCAGGGGACGATGCACCGAGGAACAAAAACAATTATAAACATACACTAATTATCTGAGGTCCGCGCTGATCTCTTGAATCGGTGCTGAAACCCCCTCCCTGGCGCGCAGCGCGCGCCAGGGGCGGTGCCGGAGACGCCGCCAAGGGCCCCAGCATCGATGAAAGGAAGCCGCGAGGACCCCGAATGTCTATTCGCGTGCCATCTTGCTGCTCCTCTAATGTAAGACCGTTCGGCGGCTCTGCAGCCGCGCTCGCGCCAGCCAGCACCGCGAACAAAAAAAATAGGACCATTCGGCCCCCTCGCGCCGACAAGGCGTTCCCGGGGGCCAAGAGAGCCCAGCATCGCATCGATGAGTCGAACCAACGATCGGCACGAATCGGCTCGGCCGGAATCGGCAGCCGAGCTGCATCGGCGGAGATCGGCAGGCTTGCAGGGCCTCCGCTGGGAGACGCCGAAAACCACATCGGCATCCGCGGCCGAGTGGAGCCGGAGAAGCGGCAACGATCGCCGCCGAGCCCACAGCGAAACCGGGCCCCGCCTGGGCCCGTCGCTCGCGCGCGGCCCGCCGCGCCGAGGCCTGAGCGTGCCGCGCGCCGCGGCCGCTGGCGGCGCCACCGCCGCGCCCTGCTCCGCCATGCCCCCCGAGGCGTCGGAGAGCGCCGACGGCTTGGTGCCTGCGGGCGGGGGGCTGTCGGCTACGCGGGCCGCCGGCGGAGTCCCCACACCATTGGGCACCGATTCGTGCCGGTGGCCACCGGGTAGCGACCGATCTGGCTGCGCGGTGGTCGACCCCTGGCCAACGGAAACATGACTGCCCATGTTAAGGGCACAAGCTGACCACTCTCTGTCGCTAATCTAGCCAGCTGCGGGCCACGTCTGCATCGAAGAGGGAGGGGGGCTGTCGGCTGCTCAGGCCCGCGGCGGGGCTCCCTCAGATCATTGGGTGCCGATTTCGCGCCTCCATAGAAAAAAAACCTTATCAATTTAAACGTTGGGCGCTCCACGCGGATTTTTTTGATCTGCGCTGAACCCCCCTCCCTGGCGCGCGGGGCCCGCCATGGGCGGCGCCAGAGCCGCCGCCGGGGAGGCCCAGCGCGGATCCCAAAAATCCGCGCGGAGCGCCAAATAACTCATGTTTATAACCGACTACCCCGGCCCCGGATAAAAATGCACCCCCCTTGATCTTCTCTATGTTTTCAATCCCGTGGCAATAAACTTTAACTGTGGAGACGGGCGCGGGAACCGACCTTGATAATCTCCGGGGGAAATTGCGAATCGAAGTTGCTATGATCTCATGTTGACCAGCAACAGCATCAAAAACGCTGAACATGGCCATGGTGGTCTCGCCACTTCAGCTTCCGCACTGACGAGCGTTTGGCAGGGCACTGGGGTTCTCACCTTCTCAGTTTTCCCCAGTCACGAACGTGCCGCAGGGCCATGGGATTCTCACATTTTCAACAGTTCCCGAGCCAGGAACGTGCGGCAGGGCCATGCGGACCGATTGGGTTTTGAAGTTGCATGCGTTTTTCGAGCGGCAGAACATCGGAATGTTTTTGTTAGCGCATCCTTCACACGGTTCGTGGCCCTTCCTCCTCGTCCTCCTCCTCCTCCTCGTCCTCCTCCTCCTCCTCCTCCTCCCCCTTCTCCTCCTCCTCCTGTCCCCCCGCAACTGCCCAGGCCCGAGCTTCCCCGAGTCTCCGAGACTCCAAGCTTTCGAGCGTCTTCGAAGCACCGAGCTGCAACTCCCCCTGGGGCAACGACAGAGGGGAAATAAGGCATCACGGGGTGCATCGATCCCCAATCGCCCATTGATCGCAGAGAGAGTGGTTCGATAGCCCGAACCTGCCCAGGTACGTGCGGATTCACGATCGGGCGTGCATCGCCGATGCATCGGCGATGTACCGCCGATTCCAGGTCGACGCTTCCCTCCCCAATGCCTACCTCACACATCGTTGCCCCTGGGTACGTCGCGAACCTCAGCCAAGTCCCAAGCCGCCGGGCCGCCGAGCGCGCCCAGGCGGCGACCCAGCCTGTCGCGGCCCTGAAAGGAGTCGCGAGCCAGAGCTCGAGCGAGATTCTCGAGCGCATGGCCAAGCAGAACGAGAATATCCTCGACGAGCGGTCCTCCATCGCGGACGGGACCGCTATTGCCGAGATGCGCCAATGTTAATCAAGCGCGCAAGGCACTGACGCAGCAAGAATGACGGCCTGCTTTTTTCAAGGCGGAGAGCGCTTCGTGGTCAAGCAGCGCCCAGCAAGCCGCCCCCGAGATGGTCTACAACGGCGGTTCTCTCAAGGTCATCGAGTACGGGCGCATCTTCAACGCAAAGGACAAAAGGGGCGTCGAGCTGGCGGTGGTGGCGTTGTTCTACAAGACCCACTACGATAATGACGCCCGCCTCTACGACATCTTCGAGAATCGCGGAGAGCCGCCCGAGAACCTCTTCTGGGTCATGCCGAGCTTCAAGTCGAAGACGCTGGAGCTTGGCAAGACGAAGGACATCTCGAGTTCGGCGCCGAGAACGCCCAGCGCCCCACCTTCGGCTCCTGCGCCGGGCGCGTCGGCAAGGCCCTCCCCGACCCCTCCGAGCTCCTCCACCTCAACGACCTCGCGCTGCCGACCAACACAAATCAGAGCCCGTCGAGAAGTGGGGCGACGAGTTCTCCTCCGGCGTGCCAGCCGATCAGCTCTTCGAGATGATCCCCCACAAGGCCAAGCAGTTCGTCACTTGGCGCCGCCAGAACGGCGTGGCGCGGAGCGTTGACCACGCGCGAGCCACCACGCGAGCGGTCGTAAAGTGGCGCTGGAGCCTCAAGCGCACTGCCGACATGGCCTACGAGCTCCAGGGGCGGCGGAACTACCAGGACAAGCGCTCCAAGCATGACTGCGCCAGCACCGACAAGCAGATCGACTTCGAGACAATGGCTCTCGACCAACATCAAGACGAATTGCCAAGCGTTCGCCTAGATCCACGCCGACGACGACAAGATGGCCAACCAGCGCGAGCCCGAGAAGAGCCAGGCCGACGCGAAGGTCGAGCCAAAGGCCGACAAGTTCACGCCGAAGGACGCCTGAGAGCCGAGCGGCGGCGGGCGGCGAGCGCCCGGCGCACGAGCGTCCCGAGCCAAGCGCTCCCATGCTTTTCGTTGCGATGGTGCCGCGCGAGCGTCTCGAGGCACGCGCTCGAGCCCCATCTGCTGTTCAAGCTCCAAGCGAGCGTTCGAGCGCACTCGAGTGGCGTTACAAGCTGCGCGGTACTACTCCCCCCACTCTCGCCGAGCGATCCTCGATCAAGCGTCGAGCAATCAAGCAGGCTCGATCCTCCATCATCGGGTCGAGGACCCGAGATTTTGAGTCCGAGCATCCTCGAGCACCTTGGATCCTAGATCCGAGGATCGCCAGGCTTGGACTCGAAGGTCTCGGGCTCGCGATGCGAAGATCCGGGATCGAGCCTCGGCGATCGTCGATCGTCACCGTCGCCAGGCCCAGGCCGCCATCAAGGAGGCTCGATCCTCGGATCGAAGACCCGAGATCTTGATTCCGAGCAGCTTCGAGCGCCTTGGGTCCTAGATCCAAAGATCGCCGCGCTTGGACTCGAAGATCTGAGGTTCGCGATCCAAAGATCAAAGGTCGAGCCTCGGCGATCCTCAATCGCCCTCGTCGCCGCCCTCGGGCCCAGACCGCCATCAAGCAGGCTCGATCCTCGGATCAAGGATCCGGGATCTTGCTTCCAAGCATCTCTGAGCGCCTTGGATCCTAGGCCCGAGGATCGCCACGCTTGGACTCGAAGAACCCGGGTTTGCGACGCGAGGATCGGAGATCGAGCCTCGGCGATCCTTGATCGCCCTTGTCGCCGCCCTCGGGCCCAGACCGCCATCATTGAAGCTCGGTCCTCGATCCTCGGATCAAGGACCCGAGATCTTGCTTCCAAGCATCTCTGAGCGCCTTGAATCGTAGACCCGAGGATCGCAACGCTTGGGCTCGGAGATCTCCGGCGTGACATCCGAGGATCGAGGGTCGAGCGCCGGCGATCGTCGATGTCCCTCGTCGCCGTCGTCGGGCCCAGACTGCCATCCAGCAGGCTCGATGCTTCATCCTCGGATCTAAGATCCGACATCTTGGTTTTGAGCATCTGCGAGCACCTCGGATCCTAGATCCGAGGATCGCCAAGCTTGGACTCGAGGATCCTGGGTCCTCGATCCGACGATCGACCCTCGACGCCTGGCGGTCGCGCGCACGCGCGCGCGCGAGCGCGCGCGCACAAACGCTTTCGCGCACGCGCACACGCGCACGCGCGCGCACATTCGCGCGCTCTCACACATGCACTCACACACTCACACACCCACACACACACACACACACTCACACTCACACGCACAACCACAAAAACACACAACCTCAACCACAACAGCAACAGCAACCAGCAAAACAACAGCAACAGCAGGCCACAACAGCAACCATACAACCAACAACAGCACAAACAACAGCTGCCACAGGAGCACAGGCAGACCCACCGCATCGCCGATGCATCGCCGAGGCCCGCCGATGCATCGCCGAGGCGGCGCAAGCAATGTGGTGCAATGGGCGCGAGCTCTGTAAAGCAAGCGCTGTGCGGGTCAAGCCCGCTGAGGGCGCAGCGCTTTCCGTGGCCCAGAAAAGATCAAGCATTCCAAAACTTCCTTTTCCGCTCTGGCAACGAGGATGGCCGAGTCGGACAGCGACGATCGTCGGCCTTTCGCCGAGCGGTCGGGCGGCGAGAGCTTCGCCTCGCCGATGTTCCTCGTCGAGCAAACGCAGGGCGACGAGCGGGCGCGCGGACCGAGAATTTCGAGGAGGTGAAAACCGAGAACGGCGTCGACCAGCGCGAGGAGACGCGAGCAACCGCGCTGGGGGAGGACACCAGCAGGCCCGAGGACAAGGGCCTCGAGGACAAGAAGCTCGAGGACAAGGAGGTCAAGCTCGAGGTCGAGCTGGAGGACGAGAAGGCCAAGCTCGAGGTCAAGCTGGAGGACAACAGAGCCAAGCTGGAGGACCAGAAGGACTCTCCTGCAAGCTCGAGGACAATAAGCTTCAGAACAACAGCAACTCGAGGACAACGCGCACTTCGAGAAAACAGCTCCTGGACAAGAAGCTCATGGTGCACCCCTGCAAGGTCGAGCCCGAAAGAAAGCGCCGCCGCCTTTGCAAGCCCTCAGCGACGAGGCAACGCGATGCCTTGCGCTCGGTGCCGAGCCCTGCCTCGCCTCCAGCCTCGGCCCCGAGTCCTGATTCAGCCTTGAGGCGCCTCGCGAGCCGCTGGGGGCTCTGAGCGAGGTGCCTTCGGGCAGAGTGAGGACGAGGTGCTGGGGGGCTCTCGGCGAAGTTGCCACCGACCTCGAGGACGCCCAAAAGAACAAACACAAACTAAACAAGAGATAGGGACCCGGGCAACATAACCGACGACAGCAGCACCAACAAAGCGCACGCAATCAGCACAAAAGCGCGCAATCAATCTACAGCACTAGCAACAACCAGTAGCATATGCAACCAGCAAAGCAATCGCACCACCAACAACAGCGGAAGCAGACGCAAGCGCAACAGCAGCACCATCCACCAGCGCGACAGCGGGCCACGCCAACAACAAGAGAAGCAACAACAACAACAACAACAACAACAACAACAACAACAATCACT